GTTTAGGGGTTTAGGGTTTTGGAGTCGAGCACAGGGTTTTTTTTAATCTGATTTGTGAAGGGTGTCTTAGGGTTTAGGGGGTTAGGTTTTGTCTGAGTTTCAAGAGTGTTTTCGGGTTTAAGGGTCTTGGCTTTGTGTCGGTTTGTAAGGGTGTTTTAGTGCTTAGGTTTTATCTGAGTTTCAGGGGTGTGTGACAGGTGTTTTGAAGGTTTTGTTTTGGTTGTAGACGTGCTTTAAAAGGGCTTTGTGGGGCTGTGTGGGGTTGGGGTCTACACAAAACGTGGGGCATAGATTGGGGGGCGCGCTTGGTGTTTAGGGTGTTCAGCAAAACCTAGCCAGAAAGCTCCCCGCCTGGCCTCGTACAAACATATGGTAGACCCAGAGACCCGAAAATCGTGTAGCAAGCAAATGCTTCCTACGTCATCGTAGGGCTCGGTGATCCGGGGCTGCAACCTTAAACCCTGGACACCCTAAACACCAAAATCCCGAAGCCCGATATCCTAAACCCCAAACCTTGTAGACTCTTTACAGAACCCTTACACATCATAGGAGTCCTTCCAGGAACCCATATGTAACCTTCACAGGAACCCTCAAAGGAACCCTTATTGTAAGCCTCAACCCTCGCCAGTGATTTTGGAGTCTCCACAGTCTCCTTTGGCCTCTTATGCTTCAGGTGTGTCCGCCTTGCGTTGCCAGACGTCAACCTTCAATCAGCGGGAGGGGCGCCAAATTTTGGTTTCGAGTTTCCTATTCATTTGGGGGGGGCTTATAGAGGTCGTGAGAAGAACGCTTTTCGGGCATCACGACATGGAGGAGCCCTAGGGCATAGCATTGGTAAATTATTCATACCCTTTCACTTTAGGCTTTCGATCATAAAACCCGCGTAAGACCAAGCCGTAGTAGAGATTTTATGAGCTTGTGGGGGCCCCAGTGTCACTTTAATAGTAATTCTACCCATTTCCTATTCTTCAGGTTTTCATCGGGGAACCAAACCAAAAATGAAGAAAAGGTGGCACAGAGGGACCTAGAACCTCCTTATGAAACCCTACGAAGCCATTGAACAAACAAAAGGTGGTGGTGGTGGTGGTGGT